TCTCTCTCTCTCTCTCTTTCTGTCTCTCTCACTCTCTCTCTCTCACTTTCTCACTCTCTCTCCGTGTATGTGTGTTTGTGTGTGTGTGTGTGTGTGTGTGTGTGTGTGTGTGTGTGTGTTTGTGGTACAGTTCGTTATACATGATGTATTACGAAATTTCTCGAATGTCAAAAGTTTGAGGTTATAGTCCACGAAGCATACAAATAGCTGAGTCCGTCCACTTGAAGGTGTACCTCTAAGTTTCTGTTCTGCTTGACGGTCTATCTCAGGACCAGTCTAACAGCCGTTCCACTTGAGAGTCAACTGGTCTAGGCTACTTAAAACCATAGCCATTACCCCAACCCAAACCCTAATTTTCGTCTGGTCAGAGTCAGGGTTAGGAAGTAGGTCAGGACACCACCAAGTTGGAAAATATGAGTGTCAGGCTGTTCCAGTAGTAGACTGTCAAACAGAACAGAAAAACCGTGGTAGACCGTCAACTGGACTATTACCTAAACAGCTGTCATCTCACCAGGGATGTTCCAATTGTTCCCAGTGTCTTCCTCGTTGTTATTTTTTCAATCTTGTTTTTCTTTTTAATCCCATTTAGCTTGTGTCAATGACACTTTGCTCGGTCGGCTACTCGCGTTTCTCGGCGGAAACTGCAAAGAAAATTAAATATATCCGGGAACTAAATTAAGATCCTCATCAAGTATGCTATTAGTATTAGATCTGCGACCCACATCGGCGATCATGATTCTCCAGTCATTCCCCTGCTCAGATGCTCTTTAAAACATTAATTAGAAAATAATCTTCCCCCTTCATATATCTGTTTAAATCGACCGCCTTCGGCTTCGGCCGCTGCCCGGGAAAAACTCAAAATGTCTTATCAACTGATATCGTTTAATGTGTCCCGTGCGCTCATATGACATGTGGCAGCTTCGAGCATCGTAGAATGCTTGCAAAAACAAAACAGATAAAAAAATCCCTTCTGTTTAGGCTCTCCAAGTTGGTTGCATTGGGTCTACCCTGAGACAGAGAGTAGTAGTCTTCTCCGGTCTACCCCAGCCTCGTTTGGTTTCAGTTTTGTCAATGAGATATACATGTCCAAGGCCTTTACGTCTATTAAAGTGTCCCAGAAACTGCATTTTGTCCTTTCCTGATTGTTGTTATTTGAGCGAGCGGCCCAACTTCAATTGATATCTTCTCCTTTCAAGAAATTCCCAGCAGTCTTGTAAGAAACCTTCTAATAAATAATAATATAGTTTAATACACCCCTAGACTCCAACATTTCCTTTCCCTCCCTTGCGAGCATAGAAACAAACCCATGGACGGAGTGGCGACACTGTTGCAGGAAGGGAGACAACGGTCACCAAAATATGAAATACATACAGTATATTTCAAATACAGCGATTGCTTCCCTTGATTATTAGTTTGTTCATATGAAAACCTCGAATCAATTTTTTTTCAAAATTAGTAATCTAATTTAATCACTTTTGATTGGGCTTGGGTAACACAACAAACAGGGCATTCAAATGTGTGAGTGGTAGTTAACTGATTTCATCAGTTACAAAAGAAAACCTAAATAAGTTGTAGACTTCAGTAGATTAACAAATTTAACCCCACGGTTGTTATATATTTATATATGCATGTACTGTACATGTATAACATACTCTTGGTGAATTTGCTGATATCACTTTAGGAGGAGGCAATCTTGTAATTCTGTGGTCGTCTGGGCATGATTTTTCAGGATTTTTACTTGCTCCGACGATCACAGAAGTGCCTTCGGACTGGTTGCGAACGACGATAGCGGTGACATGTAAGCACACAAATTAGTCTTGACGTGTTAGTCTTTTAATACGGAACGCAACTGCATTGACTATGAGACTTAATATTACAAAGATTATTGGCCACACTCTTTTCACAGTTTGGAAAACATGATAGCTTAGATGTAGGGTGACAAACACACTAACGATGTCATCACTTAGAAGAAGCGGCCCCCATGTGATTTTTCAGCATACTTTTATTAAATGCTAGAAGATGACGAATTATTTCCGAATATTTGGTCACTCTAAGCGAGGAGTTAGGAATGAGGGTTGTGTCCTGCCCCCCAGGACAGCCTGGTGGTTATCTAGAGTACGCGCTAAACAAACTTAACACTAAGACTAATATGCAAACTATCTCCTACACCAGAACATCATCGCCACCATAACTAATTATCATCATGATCAACATCACAATTACCATCATCATCATCATCATCATCATCATCATCACCATCATCATCATCATCATCATCATCACCGACTTAACAATTCATCTTTTTGTTCTTTCGTTTTTCTAAAAAAACAAAAAAACAACAACATAACAATTTGCACATTGACAATACATTTTCACGTAACCAAACATACATGGGCACCAAAATCAGGGCACAGGACCCCCCCCACGGTTGTTAGGGATTTCAGCGGACCATTTTCCCCCATTAGATTATCTATCACTAGCTAGCAAGCTAGTTAGCTATCTGTCTGTCTATCGGTGGTTTGTTTGCATGTCTGCTACTTTGATGTTAGTTGTTGTTGCTTTCGTGTGAGGGGGGGGGGGGTCGTTTGTCTTCTAACGCCTATGTATAGACTGCCTTTCTTTTAATTTGTGTCTATCAGTTTATGGTTTTCTAGTCTATTTTCTCGTTTGTAGTAGGCCTACGTGTTTTGGGGTTTTCTTTTTTTTTAAATCTCTTTTACTATAATAACGAATGTGTCATTTATGTAGGTCTATGGCAGATTTGTTCTAAGAAATTCCCTCTGGGCTCTCCATGTTAAATTAGAGCTATTATTTGCGAAGAATAAAAAAAAAAAAAGATAAGAACAACGCACTTAAAGGCGTGGCATTTCGGATGGATTTGAAAAGATAATTGTGTTGATTCGTAGCTTGCACATGTCAAAGAGAGATCAAAATAAACAAGATGATGGCTTTAAACAATGCATTAATGATATACGAAAAGGATTCGCTAAACCGACGAAATGTTACTGGTAATTATAGCCATTCTATATTCGTAGTGAAGACATCGGAAAAATAAAAAGTCCCGGTTTCACTGACTGAATCGACAAACAGATGTGACCCGTTCGAAAAGTTTAACGGCCTGAAGGTAACCGGCGGTCGATGCTTTTGCATTCGATCTATGTTTTTATATTATACGTTACGGCATTCGATAGTGAATTGTGATCTTTGGTACAAATAGATCTAGAGCTACACACACTTTCTGTTTTGAAAATCACGTTGCAGGACAAATGAAAAGAAAAGGTCATCGTTAAGGAAAACAAAGATCACGGCAGGTGTGAGTTGAACTCTGAACTCTAACCCTGGGTTTCTAGATATTCATACGCCAAAGCTAAAATGAAACAAGAAAATTATTCTACGGCAAAACAACAAACTTCCCATAATGTTGATTCATCCCATAACATTTCATCTTAGACATTATTACTGATACCATTTGAAACAGTTATTTTGTAGTTCAGCAAAACTGAAAAAAAAACATTTCGCGGCAGATTACCAATGCAGCGGTGATCCGCCGAGTAATGACATCACATCAACAGCTGAGGAGAGGAGGAAGTCAGCGCTTGGATTGACCCAGTGCTTTGAGGCCGGCGAGGCCAGTCAGACGAAACGGTGTGTGTGAGGGTGTGTGTAACTCCGCCCCGAACTGTGCGCTAGAAATGTCTCGGCAGGTAGTCAAAAGGCCATAGCTGTGGTTCCTCACTTGTTCGTGATGTGTTTCTGTTTAGTGGGAGTTTGTGTTGACGCTGGTATGGGACGTTCAGACCAAACGATCGGAGTTTTATTTCCATGACAGAACTACACTACACGGTGAATGCTTTACGTTTACAGTGATTCACAAGCCTCACAGTAGCATCTCTTCGACACTCGGCTAAATCCCATGAGCTGCTCTGTTTGATTTGGATTTTTACTTCAGTGTGTGTATCAACCTGGAGCATAATATTGGATGTGTCCACAAATTCTGGATGTTTGGTCTTATTACTTTTTCTTTACTTCAGACTCATTCGAGACTTGTTAGTAATTACAATGTGACTTTTACAATCGTTTATTGACTGTGAGTTATCCGCTCTGTCTTGAAGAGTACCTACAGAAGACGGGATCATGAAGAAGTCTAGGAATTGAAATAGCCAGATATCTACATAGCTCAAACTGTTAGTTCTAGAATCTAGCCTAGATCTAGTGTAGATCTAACTAACTGTGTACTTTATTGACCAACCTAGATGCTGAGGCTAATTTTGTTAAATATGAGTCCTGTATCCCAGAAATTGATTGTTTTGAATGTTTGTCGATGAAGAAAATCTATATTCTAATAATAAGAGAAGAAAAGAACTTACAAAAGGATAGATAATCCTTGGCTTGAAATTGCTTCTAGCTTTATTATACTTTATAGAATCTATTCTAGCTCAGATGCATCTTACTGGGAATACAGGAGAACAATTAAGTGAGAATAATATTATAGCCATGTCTGGAGGAGGATTAGATGTTCGCCTGAGAAGGCAGGTCCCAGTGTCGTCCAGGCCACCTCGCTTGCGTCTGGGCACTCGGGCATTGTCCACTCAACAGCATGCCAAGTCACAATCAAATGCGAAATTTTTGAAGGAAAATGGTCCTGCAGATATTTCTCAAGGCTCTGCATTCAGTGTCGTTGGTTCGGGTCCTGTTGAAAAGTCAGCAGTGAACGATAATGATATGGGTTCCTCTGTGTATAATCAGTTTTCAGCTCGAAGGGCTGTGGACAGTGGTAACAACAACAGACCCCTTATCCATCACCAACGACATAACCTGAAGAATAGATTTCAGCTCTTGAGGACTCTTGGAGAAGGTACATACGGGAAAGTAAAACTTGCCTCTGACAAGACGACAGGAGAACAGGTGAATAGTTTATTTTCATTCTTCCATTCAATCTTTTTTTTTTCATTTTATTTTATTATAATAATAAATAGCATTTGTTTACCATATGTCCCCGCTCGAAAGCAAGCTCTATATGTGCTTTACACTATAATATTAAACGAAAAACGTTATTAAATCTTCCTTCTTCATTACAAGGTCAGCTGTCAACCCTGTCCTTGTTCTGTCTATAGGTGTACTTATGTTTCAAAGTGCTACTGATATATGGTAATTTAGTTTATTGTAATAGTGGCCTTTGTCCGGAGGGAAAAGTGGCTATAAAATAAATTATGGAGCGGGTCAAGATCCTGATACGATCATTTAAAACCAAAGGTAAACGTGCTGGCTGTTTGAGTGCTCTTTTCTTGAATTCAGAGATTGTAATTTATTTAGTTTGTGAATGTTAAAAATACTTGTTTTTACTTTAAAATTTGCAATAGATCTAAATTCTATGCCTTGATTTTAATTCAAGCACATTGGCTCATTAAAAATAGTCTTCTATTGTTGTGAGAGCAAATTTTAAAATAGATATATTGAGAAACTGTGAAAATGAAGTCTTTCACAACAAGCCACATTTAATAGTGCTTTTAGAAGTCTTTTTTTACTGTCTGTTCAGTGTATAGAGATTTCAGTGAACGTTTGCCTTGGTAATTCGCCTCAATTATGCCAGTGATTAGTCTACATCTACTTACTAAGCTCTAGCAAGACTTTTCTTTTTCATTTAAATCACTGAAGTTTCTGAAATATTTGCAATTGTAGCATGAGGCAGGGACATAAGGAAAGAAAGCTACAACTTTCAGAGCCCTTTGAAGTGTAATCAGATTCAGAATTTGAGAGATGTCTCCTTGTCCAGATTTTGCTCAGGTCCTACCAGTTTTAACTCCCCACTTTTCACCTACAGCTTTATAGCTGGCTCAACCAATGGGCTCAACCTTTGCTTCTATTTTCGAGTTTTATTGTTTGTTTCATGCTTTTACTTCTCCCAGTACGGGGTAGGCTGATTCTGGTTATAATTTAACTATAAATTATATTTAGATGGGCTTTGTCAATTTTTTGTTGGTATTTCTTTTTATGTGGATCTTTGCTGACTTTATAACTGAAATGGTGTCTGTAAATGTACAATTTCTTGCGCAGATGTGCGCATGCTGCATCAATTTGTTTACTGTTTACACCTCCCCCCCCCCCCCCCTTTTTTTTTTCCTCGTGTCTATCCATCGCGCTCTGTCTTTTCAGATGTCTCTGTCTGGCCTTTTTCGCACCGTGGTCTTTTCCTGTTCTTTGTGCTCAAAACATAGCTCTATTGCCCTCTGTCTATCCAGCGCCTAGCTCCGGATGAATGTGTGCGCTGGTCCACAGCCTCTTTCAAATACTCTGCGCTTTTAAGAAATAAAGAGCCTGCATTACTGTCTTCGTGCAGACTAGCGTGAAATATTGATGTATACAATCTAATTTGAAATTCCAGCCGTTGGAGTTAAGCTTGGGTTGCTGGAGGAAATAGACCAAGCTGTGCTAAATGTAGAATAGAAGATTTTTTTTTACAATCCATATAATATGCCAATATTGTCGGCTGTCCTTTTCAAAATATGTGTGCGTGAACTTAGAAAAAAAGTCTAACCGAATGTCTTATATTATAAAAGCACAAACAAGGGGATGATTTGAGCGTCAAATTATGAAATGAACCCGGTCAGTGACCGGTATTTTCATGTCAAGCTTATGACGAAAATACAGTGATCCCAGTCGGACTTTTTCCTAACCGTCAAATTCAAGCAAAAGTCCGTAGACTTTTTATAATATAAAAAGGCGATGTCTTTTTCTTAGGTTTTACGATGTTGTACGTACATGTGTGCAAGGCAAAAAGAAAAAAACAACATTTTTGTTAGGTCAGGCCTACGTATGTTCGAGAGAGGCGATCCTCGAATGTGTACAGGAAAGGCGAGTAAAGAATCTTTGTTTCGTGTTGACGCCCACAATGCGCTCACTGTAACCATCGTAGCGATGCACACGTGTGGCTTCAGCCCTAGCCTGCCGCAGAACCGTGTGTGTACCGTGGGTCGAGAGAGAAACCCTCCTTTTTTGGACCACATTATACATTATAGACGACAGTGCTGGCTTGGACTGTGCGAGAAAAGATCAAGCATACCTCTCTGGCGTTCACCATGAAATAGGATTGTGGCACCAGCTCCTTCACATGAGATCTTAGACGGACTGGTGCTCGCTCGGAGCTCTGGACTCTCCACCCACGGGTTCAATGCGTGTGTCTTATACACACACACACACACACACACACACACACACACACACACACACACACACACACACAGAGAGAGAGAGAGAGAGAGAGAGAGAGAGAGAGAGAGAGAGAGAGAGAGAGAGAGAGAGAGAGAGAGAGAGAGAAAGAGGCTCGGGGCTTGTTGTTACTGTGACTTTGTACTTCGGGAATTCCGTTGTACCTATGTGTAGCTTACTTACAACTTTACTACTTGTATTACTAGCCTACTGCCAGGTTTGGTAACGTTGTCTTAACGCTTTCTAAGTTCTAAGTAGGGTAGGCCTGGGGCTGGTGTGAGTCACACGGTCAGAAAGCTGCGGGGTGTTGTTGTAGTACTTGTCTCTTCTTAGTGCTGAAAGGTTTGGAGTTCGAGTGTAGTTCGGTCCCGGCTTTAGAAGCGCTCTTGACGCTTTTTCTAATTAAAAATATGTGCTGCCGGTAAACAGATGGCTGAGATGGTAATGATGAGAAGGAAGTAGGTTTATACTGAGTAAAGCGCTAATGGAAATCCCCCCCCCCCTCACCCCCCTTCCCAACCCTAGATGATGATTCCTGGGTCGAATGACATCAGGTTTTGTTACAGTATAACACAATAACGACGTTCCGCTAAGTAGATCAAGAGAGGGGGGGGGGATGTTAGATTCAATGAGTGGGTAGGATTTTTTATTCAAAGAAACCCGCGGTCGTTACAGCTGTCGTTTTGTTTGTTCTATAGTGCCGAGAAAAACGAATTGGCATGGTTCAACAAAACCTGTTTCAACTTGAAGCTGTTTATGGAAAAGATCGGTCTCCGATTTTACCTCCGTTTTAAGTAGGCTATATTATGTATATATATATTACCTGTAGGATGATCTTTCTCATTGTCAACGTCACTGACATATTCTGTCTTCGCCCCCAAGCGATGGGTAGTCCAGTATAATTGTGTTCATTTGTCCTTCTCACAAACTACACGAATTTTTATGTCCTCGAGTATTTGGGAGGAACGGTATATTTGTATCTTTTCGAGTAATTCAGTGTTTCTACCTGCTTGATGTATCTTGCTCAACCCTTATGTGTTGGCCTTAACAGGCAAGGTGAAACAGCCGCCTCCTAAACGATCTAACTGGTGTCGATAAAGGCCTCACTCATTATACTGACACTTTACGGATGGTGTAGCTACCGAGGACACAAACCTGGTAACATCTGAGACCTGCACGCAGGAAGGCGTTGTGCACTCAAAAGCCTAATCCAAATCCCAAAGGAATGTTCCCACTGGAATGTGATTGCCCAACTCTCACACAATAAAATTATATATTATAGTATAATATTAAGCTCTTTAGCCTTCAAGAGTATTAATACATGTCTGTTTGCCGTAGAGCACCTTTCTTCAAATCTTTACCCTCCATAGCCAATATCCTTTCTAGCGTATCGGACAAGAGCTGGGAGAAAAAATAAACGGGGAAAAAACCCCCTGTAAGAGCATGTTCCTTATTTCCCATAGTAATCGGCGCCTGTTACTTATCCTCGACTGCCTGGAATTTGGAATGCATACCTGCGGAGAAATTCCATCGTTAGTAAAATATCATTAGTCTTCAACCTGGTGGCAGTCGCTACTAATTTCCTTTGATCTTTACCGGAGTGTAGGTGTCGTGCGTGGCAGAGAAATGTCAATGATCCCGCGGTGCGCGGGGGCAGTGGCTTCTTGGGTTAGAGTTAATCTGGATTAGGAGAGAAGCAAGGCGCATGTCGGGGGGATAATCGCCTGTCTCGTGTTGTTGGGCATGGAGAGGAGGGAACGGAGGAGGTGGAGTTTACTTAACGACGTTGGCACAAAGAAAGATTATCGTGTCTTAAAGTTTTTAACATCTTTTTGTGCTGTTGTGACAAGCGCGACAAAGTGTCAGGAGCGCACGTGAAAAAAAATAGA